GCTTCCTTGAGCTGGAAATGCATAACCTCATATCTCTACCAAAATGTCAAAATGTGCAACCCATGCAGGGAGGCAGAATCACAGCTTTTCCTCATTTGCCTCTCAGAACTACAAGTCATGAGTTTTAATCAACAGCTGAGAAGAGTGAGTGTGAGTATGTGGATATAAAAACGGAGAGCTTCTCACTTTGCTGTTTTTTCCTTCTAGTTCAACAATTTTGCTCTTAAAGCCAAATAGTTGTTTCAATATAGAATATTTTCCTATACTAAAGTTCTGGTTTTTAGTTAGCACGGTTTATATGTAAATATCAAAATTTGGTAAATGGACTTCTCAGTAGTGTTCCTGCTGCCTTACCTGAACAATAGCCCTCTTGTTTCTAGCTGCTGTAACTAACCTTAGGAGAAATATAACACATCCTCACAACTGCACACAGAACACTAGGTCTTAAGCAGTGGAGTTTTGGGTGTAAAAAAGTGTAGTTTACTGACTTGTTTTTGAGAATCAGATGAACCATGAGACACATGACTGTTTCTTATAGTGGCCAAGTTTTGTTTCTGGATGAGTAAATAAGTAGCTATTTCAATCTTCACTTTTTTTCCTTGAGATGAGCCACTTGTCTGATGGAATGTAGGTAATAGGATTCTAGATTACTATGTTGTCAGCTAGTTCCAAGGTCAGCGGATAGTAGAAGTCTCTGAAAAGGTGTATTTGAGCTTATAAAGAAACATAAAATGTTTAATATAAAGTCCAGTTTTAATAATCTTGTATAATTTTGACAGACTTTACAGTAGATCTGCATTCTTGCTATGTATGCCAAAGAATCTACCTAGTGTGATTTCAGTGTCCCAGTCCTTCCTTTATGACAGGTTCAAATGATGGTACTGGAGTAACGGAAATGAATAGTCACTTAGCCCTCGTCTATACTAGGATTTTATTTTGAAATAACCCCCCTTAGTTTGAATTTATAATCGGAGCATCCACTAGGGATGTGAATGACAAGTCAATTATCTGATAAGCAAATGCTTATGAAATAGTTGACAGGATAGTCGACTAGTCGCTCCCCAACTTGCTGCCTCTATCAGAGGCAGCAAGGGAAGGGAGAAGAGGGAGGTACGTCAAAGTAGCAGCACCACACGGAGCCTGGGGTCAGCTGTACTGTGCGGCCCTGACGCTTTGAACGCCGCAGGGAGCCCGGCATCAGGCTAATCGCCGCATTTCAAAGCGGCAACACCGTGTGGAGCCCGGGATCAGCTGGGGATTCCCCTGCTGATCCCAGGCTTTCCCCACCAGACGGGGAAAAAGTGGCCGGTATTTTCTGTTTTGTTTTTTTGTTTTTTTGTTTGTTTTTTTTAAACTGGACAGAAGATGCGATTTCCGGACTCTTCAGGCGAAAACCGGACACTTGGCAACCCTATATAGTCCCCAGGGGCATGGCTGGCAGCCTGTATCCTCTGGCCCCTCTCCCGAGGAGTCCCTTGCCACTCCACACTCCACTCTGATAGAGGTAGCAGCATGGGGTGGCAAGCAGCCCCTGATGGGAGAGGAGGGGTGTGGGGCATGTAGGAGGATGTGGGGTATCATGGGGCTGAGGGAAGATGTGAGGGGAGATACAATTTTACTTTGCAGAAGCTGCAATTTCTTTACTCCCCACTTCTTTGCCTCCTTCTCCAACTAGCTATTTGGCTGCATTCTTTCACCTTTTCTGAGTTATTCTCCAGACTCCCTCTCGTATCCCCATCCTGCACCCTCTCCTGCTGCCAAACTCTCTTCCAGACCCTGCCCTCTTCAACCCATCCTGCACCCCACCTCCCACCCAGATCCTGCATCCTTATCCCATTCGCTGGTAGCCCTGTCCTGCACATTGAACCCCTCATTTTTGTTCCCACCCCTGAGCCTTAGAGATCCACAAAATCTCCTGACTCTGGAACCCCAGAAAAGAAAATCTGGCCTATGGGAAGCCCTGAACCTCAGTCCTCCCTGTCCTTTCCCCTCATCCCATGGGGGCTGGAGTGCCACAGGACTGAGGTGTTTCAGTTGAGGGCCACATTGGTGAGGGTTGGGGGTTTTTGGAAAAGGAGGGTGGGTTTTTTTGTTTGTTCTTTTTGCTTCTCACTTGCGTGGTCCCCAACTGATTTTTCTGTGGGTCAGTCACCCCCCAACGGAAAAGAGGTTACCCATCCTTGCTATAAAGAAAACATTGAAACCTTTTGTATTGGACATAATGTTTTACTTTGTTTTACCTTACAAAATGAACTTTGATAAACTAACATGAGAAAGTTAAAATGCTTAATCTGTTTAATAATTTGAATTAAACTGTTCTCAGCTGCAGCACTAGCAAAATGGCTGGGGTGTAATTATGGAATTAACAGTGAGTTTCCATTAGCAACTGGTAGTCCGTGGAAAGGTTTGCATTGACCCAGGTGGTCCACAGGACACATGGTGGAGAAAGATCTTCCTCCCAGAAAAGCAGCATGACCCACGGCAGGAGGGTTACATTTTGGCACACCAGTTCAAAAAGGTTGTTGACCCCTGCCGTAGCCCATTCCAATGCCTGATGCTGGTCCTTTGCACCGTCTTGCATTCTGTCAACTACACCCTGCTCATACATTGCCTACCTGTAGGTAGCATTTGTCCTATCCTCTTTCCTGTACCTCCTCTCACCACTGATGCAGGAGTGTGTGGTATGAGACACAGCAACATATTTTGCATGCACGCCTGAATGTAGAGATGCTGCAAAAGCAACTACTATGGTTAGATGTAGGCCCTTGAATGTATTGCATTGGACTCCCGTTATATTAATATATCTAACAAAGCTGGGCTTCTTTCTGTGTCCCTGGTCATTGGAAGAATAGTACATTAGCCTGTATCAGCTGTGCGACACCCTGCCTCTGCTTACTTGCTTACTAGGGTGGGCCCCCCTTCAAGCTGAGACAGTTGCCAGCCTCTGTGATACCATGTTAAGGATTTTGTGGGGGGTTCTGTTTTTGCTTTTTTGCAACTCCTTAGAGGAACCACTAATACCCACAGTTATCACCTTTTCCATATGATATGGTATAGGACCCTGCAACACCTCTTGCAGCCTGTCCCCCAAGTAGATCCAAACACCTCTTCAAATTATGAATGTCCATCAGTTGTTGATTTAGCTCATCTCTGCCCTCAGTGTCTCCCTCTTCTATAATAACTGGAATGGAATGTCCTAGATCTAGGTGAATCCTTATACCTTGCATGGCCTGCAAAGTTGTGGAAACAACCTCTGATGCAGTAACCCTTGTCTACAGGCTCTGCCTCCACAGCTTCCATTGGCCACTGTTCCCTGTTCTTAGTTAATGGGATCTGTAGGGATGGTGCCTGCCAATGAGGGTGGTGCACAGACCCCTCTCTTCCTTCCCCAAGGGCTGCCGGGATGTTCTGGCTGCTTCAGTGCTGTTGCCCTGACTCCTTCACCCCCCCATACCTCCAACTCCCTACCTTAAAGGACCTGAACTATACCAGGTAAATCTTCCAGTAAATCCCATAAAGTGCAAAATACAATTTTTAAAATTCCACAGAGGACCTCACAGAACCACACTGAAAAAAATACATTTCTCCCAAATGTATCTCAATGTTACATTTTTCTTACATCATGTTCTAAGCTGCATTATTGCTGCCTGTTTAGCACCTCACAGGTGCTCAAGGAACCTATCCAGGGACCTGCCACAACCAGGAGAGAGCTGCCCAACTCCCAGCTTCCAAGCTACCCCTGATCAGCCCTGGACCTTCTGTGACCCGGACAGCCCTCTCCCGGCTTCAACCCGGCCCCAGTTCAAACCTGCTCGGGCAGGGAAGGTGCATCTATCCTGCCACACCAGCCCAGAACTATCATAGTGGGGAGAGGTGCCTTTCCTCCTCCGAACCTAGTTGCTGCTGTGAGGAAAGAGAACTGAGGGGGGGGGGAGTCCTCTCCTTCCAGTAGTCCTAGAGCACCCTCCTTCACCCCAAACTGCTCAACCCAGCCCCACCCTATAGCCTGCACCCATAGCCAGAGCTTCTTGAACCCCAGTGTTCTATCTTAACCCTGTGCCCCTCATCCCTGCACCCCATCCTGGGGTCCACAGCCGTAACTTCAGACACTTGCACTCCAACCCTCTGCCTCAGGCCTGAGCCCCCTCCCACACTCAGAATCCCTTGGCCACACCCCATCCTACAAATTTTGTTATGTGCACTAATATGAAGGTGATACGTCACACATCATTTCCATATTGGTGCATATAACAAAATCCATTCCACTCAGAGGTGGGAAAAATTAGAGGGAACACTGGTCATATTTACTACATTTTCAATCCAAACTGTTTTATTTTGCCAATCTCTCTTAGTCAATTTAGCTTTTGAAAATCAAGCTGGTTTGTACATGCTTTATACATTTATTGCTAACACTTAATAGCAAAAATGATTCCACAATCCAGACTTGGTTTTCTAATTATCAGACTGCAGTGGTGATATCTGAAGCCACTAGTCGGTTGTTAGTTTTTCTGGAGTTAGGTTAACTATATGAAAGAATGGAAAAAATTGCTTTAGCTATTACAAATGACACAGGAGTCAACACAAATGACAATATGTTTGTATATGTTTTGCATGGCTTCTCTGAAATAGCATCTCTAAACAAGATTGTGAGATTACAATCCTCATGACTGATAGAGGAAGAGAAGGACTTGAAGGAATAGAGCAACAGTAGCAAATTTATGCTAAAAACTTAACATTTAGAAATATTACTTTCATGCCAGCCTAAAGTTTCAGACTTAATTCAACAGCTTGTTTATCCATCATATATTTCCATTGGCCAGTAGGAGAAGATATTTGAACTAAATTCTCCCCTCATTTTTACTGTCACATTCGTAAATCAAATGGAAGTTAAAGGTATCCAGTATGTTAGAGATTAGGTTCTATGTTACTATATCTGTAACAATTTCTTTTGTTTTTGTCTGTAAATTTATAAAGGTTTGTCCAGACACAGCGATGCCAAAGTGCAATATTGAATATTCATATTTTGTTTTAGTGTTCTGGGGAAGGTTTTGTAATGTTTTATTTAGAAATATACATGTTTCTTCTGTTGTCACACTAACAAAAGTTACATTTTTGTGACTGTTGTTGTAATTAAAGAAATGTATGGGATCTTTTTCAGGGGGATAAGGCAAAATGCAACATTTATCGGTAATATGTATATAATAAATCAACACTGTATCATATGATATACTACACTCATGCGCGCATGCGCGCACGTACACAAACTCTTTCTTTTGTCATTGTTATCAACTTGTTGCTCCCCTTAAGTTCATTGGCAAGGTGAGTTAGATGAGGGAGGGGAGGAGCCGGGCTTCTGCTGAGCTGGATTGATGCTCCAACGTTGACAAGACGAGACCCAGGGTCCCCTGGAAGACACCTTACATTTATAGTACCTTCCCTCATGCAAATCTGTCCACTTTAGCTATATCAGTTAGTCATCTTATGCAAAACTATGCACTCTAGCTGTGTCAGCCATCTGTGGCGCCTTCTTCTGGGTGTTATCCTCAGTGCTGCCACATTCATCTTTAAAGAGAGCTTTTGAATTTCCTCTAAAAGAAAGTGCTTGCTTCTGACTCCCAAGGCCTTCTATGTTTGATCTTTTCTCAGTGAGCCCACGTGACAGGTCTTAGTGTCCTTGGGTTTGGCTCCTATTCTTCCCCTTTCCAACTGTTGCAGCTGTTCATCCTTGGAGGTGCTTGCCTTCAGCGTCTTATTCATTCATCAGGGCCACATTCAAGTCAAAGGGGAGAGATCTATTCTACTTCTAATACAAAGATGTTTTCTTTATCTTAATTATTCCTAAGGACTATAAGACTGCGTCTACATAGCAACGTTATTTTGGAATAATGTCAGTTATTCTGAAATAACATAGTGTACATCTACACAGGAAGCCCATTATTTCAAAATAAATTTGAAATAATGGGCTTCTTACTCTGACTCCATTAACCCTCATTGTATAGGAGAAAGGGAAGTTGGGAGAAAGGGGGGGGGAGTGCTCTGTTTCGAAACAACTGCTGTGTAGACAGTGCCAAAAGTCGAAATAAACTATTTTGACTTAAGCCATGCAGTTAGTGTAGCTCAAGTTACATAGCTTATTTTGAGTTTACCCATGCTGTGTAGATGTGACCTAACATTAGAAAAAGACTTTATAATATAGAAATTTTATATTAAGAGACTTAATGTGAAGTTGCTACAATATGAAAAAACTTAATACAAATTATGCAAGGACTTAATACTAAATTTCTACAATAAAGCATAAGAAGACTATATTATAAGGCTAATACAAAGTTTCTATAAGACATTATAAAAAGACAATACAAAATTAAAAGACTTACAAAATTCCTATATTATAAAATAACTAATACAAAGATTTATCTTCAATATGGCATATGAATTGTAATCTCTTTCACTGTCAAGACGTAGTACAAGCAATTTGAGGAACCCGGTAAAGTGTTTACAGTGGGAAAATGCAAACTGGGTTGGGTACCAAAAACAAGCTACTTGGATCTTAACAAGAAATAATCTGTGGTGACAAGACATTGACAATAAATGTTGACTTGCAAAGAACCCCTGGTACCAACTTGGGCAAGGGTGTGCAAACTATGGCCCATGAGCCACATCTGTACTGTCAAGACTTTTAATCTACCTCTTGAGATTGCCAGTTTGGCAGTGCAGTGGGTTAAGGCAGGATGAGGAGAAATTAAAATTACTAGCAGGTGTTTCCTTAATGATAGTTTCCTTATACCTCCACTTGCTGGGGAAAGAGATGTCAGTTTTTCTGTACATTGAAATTTTTATTCATTGTGAAACTACATTATCAAATTGATAGTACATTATGTTCATTATCCATGTACTGTCAATATTCTTAAAAATAGCTATCAATGTCTCCATCTTGGATCTTATAAATATTTTGCTTCAAAAAGAGGCAACACTGGATATAATTTGTGTTTCGTATGCAGAGTCATAAAAGGTAGATTTTGTGTGTTTTGGGTTTAGATCAGACCATGAAATTCTTGTAATCAGAGCTGCACAGTCACTCAAGGGAATTGGTTTTGGTGAGTGTAAAACAGTTCTGACTACGGAGATGAAATTTGACGACAAAACCACTAAACTGATCAGTTCCTTCAATTGTGTCTCTTTGGTAAGAGTAAATTTTTACTGTTCTGTTTGAAGCTGTAGAAAATGGACATGCAGACATTATAAAGCTTCTACTCCAACACGGAGCAAATATTAATGGATCCCATTCTTGGTCTGGATGGAATTCTTTGCACCAAGCTTCTTTTCAGGTAACCTATAAATTTATTATTTCATTTCCATGTAAATAGTGTGTTTTACCCTTTTAAAATGACAAGGTTGTACAGTTTTTGCTTCCTGCTCTGGTGATTTATGATTGTTAGGCTAGGGCAGAAAAGGCAGTCTAAATGCTAATGATCATTCTGAATATGTCATAGTATGCTACAACAGCTATAGAAAGTGTTGGGCAGCAATGATTATTTAAATATTAGAAGTACTGAATATACTTAAGAAGTGATCAAATATATTATTTGGGAAGTAAATCTGTTGTAAGATGCACTTCATTTTTTTGGAAAAGACTTTAATTGATGAGGCCAACCTGGTTTCTTCTTAATTTTTTTTTATCCAGCATAAAAATGTATCAGCCTTATGGATCTAATATGCTAATTTAATTGTTTATATTTATTGGACTGAGTAAATGTGCAAGATGAAATTAAACCTTTCTAATGATTCTGCTACAGACTTTCAGAATAACATAGAATACGGAATGTGGTCCCTATTTTAGGTTCCTTCACAGAATAAGATTGAAAATGTAGGGTTCTATGAATTCCAGTGTTCTTTTTCTAACAAAACACAAATATGTTTATTTCAGGGACATACTGAAATAATACATTTGCTTCTTGAAAAAGGAGCAAACAAGGAATGTGTGGATGACTTTGGAATCACACCTTTGTTCATTGCTGCTCAGTATGGGAAGCTGGAGAGTTTGCAAACACTTATATCACATGGTAATTTTCACTTTAGTTAGTGTTACAATGTTAGTGAAACTGGCTATGAAATGGTATAAGAAATTATCACAAAACACTTACATTTTGCTATTGCAGTAACTTGTCTTGTTTTCCATTGAGTCAGACCAAGAAACAGGAAATAAAACTGAAATGCTACAGTGGCATGGTTCCAGCTGCACCACTGTAGCACATCAGTATAGATATTATATATACTAATGGGAGGGATTATGCTAGGTTTATGGAAAGAATTCTTGGCTCGATTTAGCATGTTGCTCTATGTGCCCTGGAAGTTAAAATTTTTTATACCTCTGACTAATTTTTGGTTTGATTTACCTTTAATTAGACCAAACCTAAATAAAGACCTAACCTGGGTAAAGATTAAGAGTCTGATTATGAAACCCTTAATCACACTGAGAAGTCCAATTCATTTACAGTAAACTTCCGATAATCCGGCACCTTTAGGACCCAGGGGGTGCCAGATTATCTGATTTGCCGGACTATCTGAAGGGGAGGTTATGAGGGGTCTCGGGTGGGGGGATGCTACCCCAGACCCCTCATAGCCCCCCCTTCCGATAGTCCGGCTCTGCCCCAGGCGACCCCGATTCAGCCGCTGCTGGTCAGTTTCAGCAGCGGCTGAATCGCGGTCGCCTGCAGCAGAGCTGCTGGAGTGCTGCCGGGTTGGTCCCGTAGCGCTGCCCCTTGGGGCTGCGGGACCCAACCCGGCAGCACCCCAGCTGCTCTGCCCCAGGTGTTCCCAAGTCAGCCGCTGCTGCTACTGATCAGCGGCTGACTCCAAGAAACCCGAGGCAGAGCTGCTCTGCCCCGCGCTTCCTGGAGTCAGCCACTGGTCAGTTTCAGCAGCGGCTGAATCGCGGTCGCCTGCAGCAGAGCTGCTGGAGTGCTGCCGGGTTGGTCCCGTAGCGCTGCCCCTTGGGGCTGCGGGACCCAACCCGGCAGCACCCCAGCTGTCCCCGATTCAGCCGCTGCTGAAACTGACCAGTGGCTGACTCCAGGAAGCGCGGGGCAGAGCAGCTCTGCCTCGGGTTTCTTGGAGTCAGCCGCTGATCAGTAGCAGCAGCGGCTGACTTGGGAACACCTGGGGCAGAGCAGCTGGGGTGCTGCCGGGTTGGGTCCCGCAGCCCCAAGGGGCAGCGCTACGGGACCAACCCGGCAGCACTCCAGCTGCTCTGCCCCCGGCTTCCCCGATTCAGCCACTGGTCAGTTTTAGCAGCGGCTGAATCGGGGAAGCTTGGGGCAGAGCAGCTCCAATGGTCCGGCTGCCCGGAGCACTTCCGGGTTCCTGATGGTGCCAGACCATCAGGAGTGCTGGACCATCAGATGCCGGACCATTGGAGTTTTACTGTATATGGATTACTTCAGGAGAAAGATATTACACAGCATGATTAAGGGTATCACAAAATGGTCCTAAATTCGCAGTAGTAATTTCTTCAGAATTTCAAACCAACATGTCCTGAAGTGCATCTCCAAATAGTATTTTCTCACTAGCTTTCCCACATAATCAAATGAAAACCAAACAATCGTAACAGTTAAACTGATGAACACCCTAAATTTGGCCAAAACATCCCACACTGATCAATAAATCTAACATCTCAATACTTGTGAGATACTACCTACAGAAAGTAATTTCAAACAAAATATTAGCTAACTCTTTTGCCATTTCTCCAAAGTGTCTACCTTTTATCTGGAATTGCCCTATTCTATTACACTCCGAGACAAGTGCTTTCTTTGATTTTTATAGTTGGAATAAGAAACTTAATGTAAAGTTGATTGGTAAAGGTGTAAGTAAAAGTAATGACTCTGTGGTTTATAGTTCTATTTACTATGTATCTTCTACTATCGATGTATAATGTGCTGCTAGTAATTTGCCAGAGTGCAAGCCTGACAATCTGTCAGCATAGCAGGTTTACTGGCATGTTGAATTCTGGGAATGTCTTTCTTTGAATGGAAGAAAGTGGTTCAGCTCTCCAACAAGTAATATTATTTTAGAGTTTGTATGCTTCATTAGTATTAATTACTTGGATTGTATATTTTTGCTATATTTGTGATTAACTTAAAATAATATTTTTATATCATTCATTCACACTGTAACCTCCTCAGGTTTCAGGTGACCCTGACAGAGAATTTTAGAGGGCTAGTATTTGACATCAATATTTTCTTCCTGTCAGATTTAAATGAAAATAAAAAGTAATTTGAGAACGTTAGTTCTAATCACTGTAGTTTAAAGGTATGGACAATTTGAAAACATTTGTATCAGATTAGTAAATTAAATAAGATACTTTAATACCTGTGGAAAAACTTCTGAATGATGAAGCAATTTTGTGAAAGCTAATGCCTAATTAATTCTGTAATTTGTTTATCTCCTTTTGTTTTTTTGCTTGATTATGATAATCAGGCAGCATGTTAAATGTTTTATTCTGTGGTAGGTGCAAATATCAACTGTCAAGCCAAGGACAAAGCCACTCCATTATTCATTGCTGCACAGGAAGGCCATGCCGAGTGTGTCGAACTATTGTTATTGAAAGGGGCCGATCCTAATCTCTACTGTAATGAGGAGGAATGGCAGCTGCCTATTCATGCAGCAGCCCAAATGGGTCACAGGAAGTAAGTGATATAAAAATGTAATAAATAATTTGCTTACTAAAAAATAATCAAGTGTGAGATTTTTCAGCTATAAATGGAAGGGAATTAATGGGTTATAGACTCTGTTTTTAGTGTGGAATTTCTAATGTTGTTTACATTACAGTTTCAATGCCTGACCTTGCAGCTCTTGTCCATGTGGAATAATCATTGAAGTAAGCAGGCATTTGTATCGGAGCCTGATCCAACTCCCACTGAAGTCTGTGGGTGTCCCACAGAGAGAGGGACTGCAAAATCAGACTTTACAAGCTTATTACTATTTTGTTTATTTTATATTTTAGGTGTAAAGAGTTTTGGTCAGGCATATTGTATCATTAGGAGCCCTTAATTGAAATTACAGTTGTAAATGATAATCATACAGCAGCAAGAATAATCATATACAAGTAATGAAAAACTGACTGAGCCAGTAAATCCAAGCAGAAGAACAGTTTCTTTAATCTACTCAGGAACATCCCCTCCCAATAAAAAACAGAACCCCCCTCCAAAAATTGGCTTTTGCAGTACGATAGATCATGATATTTGAGCTATTACATAGAAAGGGAGGAGTGTGGGGTACAAGCAAGTTGGAGACCGCAAGGGTCTCACAAAGATCCTCTGCAGTAGCCCCCATCTCTTTTATACATAGGGGATCCAACTTGAATGGCTCCAGTGACTACAGTTTTTACCCTTTTATGGCTCTCTAGTTAATGATCAACACTTTAAACCCCACCTGAAGAGCCAGTGCAGTTCCTGGAGCGCCAGTGCCGCATGCTTCCAGAGGGATGCCCCACTCACTAAGCCAGCTGCACTCTGCACCAGATTCAGTCTGTAAATGATTTTAAGGTGTAGACACATGTAGAATGTATTTTATGATGCGAGGGGGGAGGGAAAGCATGGAAAACAGTGGCAAAGTCCATTTTTAAATAAAGGATGCAACTTCCTAGCCATCCTGATTATGGCTGTCTAACTCTGGGAGGGAGGGGAGGTTGACATTGCCTTTGTCTCATTCTCCTGCTGCTTCAAGCATGCCACCATCTGAGTTTTGTTTGAAATCAGCTTCAGCCAGTCACTCTCATCCATTTTCCAACCTCAAGAAACCATTGGCTGCGGCACTGAATCTTATTGTCTGGGTTAGACAAGATACATACATTTGGTTGTCATAGGTATTCTGAAAACACTGCACACCTATATACATCTGGTTTGGTTGAGGAGGAGAGATGTCCGTGTGACATCCTGCAGTACCCTGCACTTGTTCCTCTTCACAAAGGGCTATCAAGTGTTCATAATTATGTGCTGCAATCTAGGCAAGAGAAAATAAAGCTACAGAAGAGCAGAACTGCCCTCTCCCAGCAATGTTTGCCAGTGAATCAACAGGTTTTCACAATCAGTAGAATGTAAGAATACCATATGGGAGCCTGATCTTCATCCATTGCCAGGAGGAGATCATCGACCAACATGACCAGTTAAATTTCTGTGCTCAAACTGATAAGGAACAAGAAGGCCAGAGCAATCTAGATAGTGTGAAAGATGTCTCATCACAATTACTATCTTACTAAAAAATGGAAGATGAATTGGCAAGATTGCCAATGTCAAGGCATGGCTCCTAGAAGAAAGGCTGTGTTAGTGCTTCCTTTAAAGCAACAGGCAATTGGCACTCTAAAGAGCAGCTTTGATAATCTCCATCTGCAAAGTACCCAGTGCTTACTTAGTGATATTAATTAGTCAGGAACAATATGGTCAATAGTACAGATTATGACACCAAATTCGACACCTCACTGAGCACCATTGGACTGAATTCTAAAAGAGAAGGCATCCTTTGTCTATAATTTGTTAAACCATCCCCCTGGTCTCAACACCCACTCATGCTACATTGTAAAAGTCTAGATAACAAACTTAGCAGTGTGTAAACCAATCCTTTTCAAAAACTAATTAGAATCTGAGATGTTATTACGAATACATCAATCCCAGCTATATTTGAATAACAAAGCATAAAAGATGTTTAAAACATTATTTCAGTTTATGTTTGCAGATAGTTTTACATTAATGATACTGATAGTTCCATATGCTTAACCACATTAAATGTTTTTATGTAAAAATGACTGAAATGATTAATATTCTTTGTAATGTATTTAATTAAAAGGATGTGATTTTGTTTTAAACAGTAATGTCCATGGTGAAAATAGCCAGGAAAAATAACATCTAACTTTTCCATATATGTGAAAAGACTCCACAATAAACATAGTTTTAAATGTTACAGCATATTGGGACTGCTAATACCTGTTACTGATCGGACCTGTGACACAGGGAAAGACAAAGTGAGTCCTGTCTATTCAGCAGTTTATGGTGGTAATGAAGAGTGCTTGGAATTGTTACTTAAAGAAGGCTACTGTCCGGATGCTCAGAAGTGCCTAATCTTTGGCTGCATATCACCTATGTGTATGGTTTTCCAAAAGAAGTATGTATCTCTCTAGTGTTTTTAATTTGTAATAGTTTAACTACATTGCTATTTATCTCAGGCTTATTTTTAAAAGTATGGAGATTTTTTTTCCTTCTCAAGTCTTGAGACTACAGAGTAAATCTTAAGTACCTATATTGTGCATTGGTTTTGGGTCACATCCATGAGCTAAAGAACCTTGCTAAAATCTCCTTTGGGAAGCTCTGTTCTTTGAAAAGGAGTCTTGTAGAACATAATTGCAGTCTAGTTTCCTGGCTTTCAAAAGGCCTTATCAACCATCTCTGTCTTCTGGGGACTTGACACGGTGCTGTAATTGAATCAAACAGATTCTTAATTAACCTGATTCTTTTCAGTATGATTGCATTCTTGGAAAATACTGTTTTACTTTCTCTGTATGCCAGTCTTGAATGTAAAAACAAAGTAACATAAAATAATTTAACAAATGCACCTCAAACCTCTATCTCAGGATTCCTGGTACAAGACTGTCCCATACCCTGAAAGCAGAGCTTTCAGTATATTACAGTTTTTGTGAATTACCAACGAATTTATACTTAGATTATAAATCTCTTAATATCATGATCACTGTGTCCTATTTGTTGTGTATAGTGTGTATGACACATGCTGTTGGTGTTCAACAAATAGTAAAATAGTTATGATGGTTATTTGATATAACAGAAGAAAAAATATAAAATGTAACCCTGCTGTTGCTCACATTTACTTAATTTACTAGATACTGAAAGTATCTATATATCTATATCTGTATTAGTGTGTGTATGTCTGTCTGAGAGTCTGTTTGTGCTCCCACTTAGCCAACCTCCTTTTCCCGATGTGGCCCTGCAGCCCCTTGCCCTATCTCCATGTGCCCTTGAGCCTCCACTCCCATTCAGCCACTGTGCCAGTCTGTGCTGCCCCACTAGTTCTTATGAGCTGCAGTCTGTGATCCCTCCCAGTAACCCTACGTGCCCCAAAATATGTGCCTCTCCCCTCTCAATCTCTTGTTTCCTGACCTGACCCTGATGGCCGTCTCTTCTCTTCCCTATCACAGTTGGGGGGATTCTGGAAGCAGCTGAATTGTTCTAGCACCACAGTGGCCTTTGGTGGTCAAAACGCATAACTGCAGTAACTTTTTAGCAAAAAAATTTTTCTTTGAGGGGGAAAAAAATTATGTATGGTACATGAATTATGCATGTACACACAATGGTGCAAAATTCACCCAGGAATAAATATTGGTCGAGGTTTCTTATTTTTAGAATCCTGTGTTTGAAAATATTAGACGTGTGTATAAAAATTAAGTTATTATAAATGTATCACACATTTAAATAGCTTTTAATTGTTTTCTCAAGCAATAACAATGGGGAGTCCTGTGGAACCTAAAAGACTAACAAATTTATTTGGGCATAAGCTTTTATGGGTAAAAACCACTTTGGCAGATGCACCATGAAAGCTTATGCCCAAATAAATCTGTTAGTCTTTAAGGTGCCACAGGATGACTTGTTGTTTTTGCAGATTCGGCTACCCCTCTGAAGCTTCTCAAGGAATGTTAGCCTGTGGCGATATATACATGCATAACTGTAAGCAGATGAGTAGTCCCATTGAAGTCATGGTGCTGTTCATATGAGTAAAGTTATGTATTGGTTGAAGTGTTTGCAGGATTAGAACCTGAATTTCAAGTTTTGTTCATCTGGAGCAGTTTTGTAAAATTCAAGTAAGATCCCATACCCTTATTGGCATTTTTCAGAAGTTGGGAATACACAATGAGTTCCTTTATAAATTGTAATCTAAAATTGTAATAGTATAAATCTTCAAAATAGCTTTTACATAATCTCCACCTAGTTATAAACATGATTTAGATCACTTAATTAAAAAAATACTATGGATTTAAATTGGCTTTATTTAAATTACTCCACCCTAACTTGATCATATTCATTACTTGGAATTCTCTGAGCACATACAGAATCTTCTGAGGGAGCCTGTCTGAATTATAAAAACCCTTCTAATTCCATATAGTAAATTTGAAGAATGTCTCCTGTGAAATCAATCGCGTGTGGTTAGTAGTTGAGGAAAATTAAAACCTGTTCAATATGATTGGTGTTCTATGAAGAAAGTGTGTTTCATGTGTCATAATCTCTTTCCTTCCTTGCTTTAGCTTTCCCCTAAGAATGGTTTTTTGTTTGTCCTTTTTAAGCCATTCCTTTCCATTTATATTTCCTTTATTTTGTTTTTCAGTTAGGGTTATACAGTAGCTTTGCCACAAATCCGGAGTAACACAGTTGTGCTACCAAATTGTGACTCTGAGTCCCAAGCCGATCTCCCATTTTCCACTTGCTCTCAGTGGGACGTAATTTATGACAACCCTATAAATGTCACAGGTTACTGACCATTGGCCAGATGGAGTCCAAAGTTCTCTCACTCTCTGCCCATTCTTGCTGCTATGGCTTTACAGATAGATCATACAGGAGAGTAAGAGACATTTATACCTCTTTGCTCCTCTACCTGGTATGTAACTAGAGTGATGATGATGCCCTTTGAGATTTTTTTCTCTCTACCTTTCCTTTCATCCCTCTTTGTCTCTTATTTTGCTTCCTTCTTTCCTCTGGTTTTCTCTTACTTGTCTTTCTTCTCATCAATGTTTCCTCTAGGGATATGAATGATTAGTCAACTAGCCGATAAACAAATGCTTATCGGATAGTCAACAGACTAGTTAACTAGTCGCTCCCCCGCCTCTTGCTGCCTCTGTCAGAAAGAGGCAGCAAGGGCGGGGGGGGGGAGAGATGGGGGTACTTCAAAGTGGCAGAGCCGCGTGGAGCCTGGGGCCAGACCCTGGGCGCCACATGGTTCTGCCATTTTGAAACACTGTGTGCAGCCTGACAGCGGGCTCTCTGTGATGTTTCAAAGCAGCGGTGCCGCATCGAGCCCGGGGTGAACGGGGGAGTCCCCAGCTGACCCTGGACTCCATGCGGCACTGCTGCTTTGTAATGCCATGGGGAGCATGGGGCCAGCAAGGCTGTCCCCCCGCTGGCTCCGTGCTCCTCACAGCACTTTCAGCTTTGAAGGGTAACAAACAGTCAATCGCATAGCTTAAGTGGAAAGCTTATTTTGGCTTTTGGCACTGTCTACACGGCAGGAAATCTGAAAGAAAGCACTCTTCCCTTACTCCTCGTAAAATGAGGATTACAGGAGTTGGAATAGAAGTCCTCAACCTTAACGTTATTTTGACATTATGTCGAAATAACCTGGCATAGTGTAGACGTGGACTATGTCATTCAGAAATAATACTGCTGTGTAGACGTATCTCCTATGCCAGTCCCTCGGATGATTTGGAATTTGCTCTTCTTAATAATTTACTGCTGTGTCATTTGCTAAGGGATGATGCTTTCTTGAGTGCTGATTTTAAAGTTACCATAGATCTGTTTTGCCTTTGGTATGATGTACCAGGTATTAAAGCAACACACAATCAAATGTAATCAAATTATTTGTACAGCGGTTCACTAACAGGAGGTTATTCACTTCCTAATTACTAGCATATAAAGCATATGTCTATCTATGATCATTTCCTGATTCCTAGTATCAAGTTAGCCTTATCCAGACTACAGAAGACACATTTGTTGCCTCGTAGTAAGAGGTAATTTGGTAATTTCCTAGAAAGTTCTCTTATTTTTTAGCATGTTGGTCCTTGAGTGGTTGTAGCCTTTGATAGATAAGGAACTGGCAAATTGTTTTATGCAGAAGCTTTCAGTAATGTTGGAATTTGTTATCCCTGCCATTTCGATGTTGATATTGGCGTGTACATCCTGTACAAATTTGGTTTTGGCTACATTATGCTCAGATATTAAGATTTTCATGACACATTAAGAATATAGTTTGTGCACTGTATATGTGAAAATTGTAATGTGTATACGTTTCTCTCATCATTAATATTGAGTGTTACATATTAGGAATGTTAAAATGTGTTTATTTTGATAAACGTGTATCTGCTGAAATTTTCAGTGGGTACATGTTTACATGCGAGGGAAGGGGATAGAGTGGGGTGGGGGGAGGAGCGGCTGCATGTAACCATGAAGGTTAACCAATAAGCCTAGGCTCATTGGTTAACTGTTTACACTATTACATCCCTATTACGTATGCTCTTCAATAGGAGAGTTAACTCTTTAAAAAACCTCTCTAAACATATCGCAAATTGTTTTCACAAGAATCTCTCATGTGCCAGTTTGGTGATTTTTCCTGAAGTGAAAATGCTGCGGCAACATTTGGCTTGAATTTATTCTGTTTCAGCTGGAAGGGCATATTTAAAGGGAGGAAATCAGCAAGAACATAATTTTTTTTTAAACAGTGAAAGCATGTCCCTATGACTGTGCCTATTACAGCTAATGCTTCTCTGGTCAGGCTGCAAATGATTTTGAATTGCTTGAGGCAGGAACTCGTGCAGATCCTGAGCTGGGCATGTGAAATCATACATCTGGAAAATAGCCAGAATGTGCTCTGCCATGTCTCATATAAATTATGTATAAGGCTTGCAGTGAAGCAATGCCTAAGGTTTATTGTATTGAATTTCACTGCATACCTCTTAGACCATGACTTTAAAAAATCCATGAGTATCATTTCACTTTCTGTCCTATGTTTAGTGTTTAATATATCAGTTTTTAGAAAAAGGATCAGCCTTGCTAATGGTAGTCAATGTTACTACAAATGAGACAGGCACCAAATTGCCTCATAGAAGCAACATCCTATAATCACATTGTTAACTAAAAGCCATATGTTCAACCACCACACAAATTATTGGTCATAATAGCATTCATTATCATAATATCATTAATAAAGATTAATCAGCATCAATTTTAAAATACATCTCGCTGATAATTTCAACGAGGGCAAAGAAAAGCTAACAATTTTGACATTATCTTTTTATTTTTTAAATGAATCAAAGGAATCTAAATTGCTATGTAAGAGGAATAGACTATGTGGGTTAGGTGACCTTGTGAATATATGCACAGGTCTTTTAG